TAATAACTCTGAACTAATTAGTGTTGTTTATTATTTTGTGCAGGGTTTTGACGAAGTGCATTAATCTATTTAATTTTATRTTGTTTCGTAAAGACTTAAGTATACAATCTCTTAAGTCTTTAAAAAAATATTTCATGATGAATAGTTATAACTAACCAAGAGGAMAAATTATTGGTAACTACGTATACTAAAATTATAATTATATAAGCTTAAAAATATGTTCGAGAATAAACGGTTCTTTAACTTAATTTCCATGTTACAAGTTTAGAACACTAAATTGCATTTTTATTATTTGTTACTCCTATAGTCCAACGTATAATTTATTGAAATAACTTTATTGATAATCATGGATACCTATAACTATTTTACCTAACCACAACTATTTAATATAATTTAGTAAGTGAAAATGTTTGCTTTCATTTCAAAAAAAATTATTGAAGCGAATTTCTAATATAGTAGGCACTTATAAATTATGTGTATTGTTTGTATCACTAATGATTCAACTACCTTTCTGATTTTAATGTATTATTGCGTATGTAGTCATGATGATACTTTAAAACGTCTCCAAATAGAAAAGGTGCTACAAATATTGAAATAAATAATAGCATTATTTTTACATTACTTATAAGTAACTATATAGGTAGTCTGTAGTATCGAAGTTAATAGATACAATAGTATTAATACATAACATCTGTATATAAAAGTGAATTATTGYAATCATCGTATGAGTAACAAAATTAGGTAATACATAATATTAGTACTGGCCCCCAAGACCTAGGTCATATGGCATATTTATCCATAGATATTATTAGGTATACTGATTTAAAGTGAAATACCTTGTAAAAATAATTGTAAACAATAACCAAATATATTATTATTTATCTGATAATTGATAAATTATAACTATAACTATTAAAGAAACATTAGAGATATTAAACATTTAACAATATTGAAATATTAAATAAATTTAGGCAAATAAATAATATTTACAAATTTATATTTATTTTGTTTTAAGTTATCAATTAATATAATATTTAATAACTTGTGACAATTTATGATAATATTGAAAAAAAATCTCGTTTGTTGGTTATGTAAACGCCATTAGGTAATACATATTATGTATTATGTACAACTGTGAACTGGGTAATATATTAATAAAATTAATTTAATTTATACATAATACAAAATTCACTGTTTATTATTTTCAACTCAGAAATACAATTTTAAAAATAAAAACACTGAATAAATGACAAAATAATAATTTAAAAATAACGTAAACAATTTTTTTTTTATAGATAAGATCAGTTGCTAAAKTACAGTTTTCAAAATATAATATTAATAGATACAACAATATATATACAGACATCTCATTATAGCTTTATTGCGGGAATTAAAGGTATTTTTTAATTTGATATCAAATAAARCTTATGATCAAACAATTGCTAATTTATATATCAGACATATAATATAGGTATATTAAATAAAACATATTACCTATGTAATTTGTCATACTATTCAGTATTCAATATCTGCAATAATAATTAATATGTGCTAAAAAATATGTACTTTAATATAGTAGTACTGTTGTTAATTAAATTATATAAGTATCTAATAAACCATGCATAATGAGAATAAAGTATTCGACTAAAATATTATGTTTTTGTAGTATAAATCATTGTATCCAATGGACATTTTGAAATTATCTAGACATTATAAAAATATAACTAAATATTTAATTTGGAAAATTGTAAATTAATATGAGGTACCTACTAGATATACAATTATTCCCTGAATAAAACATAAAAATTAACAAATTATAAAATAAAATTTTACTTTCAATCAAAATACAATAATAACTAGGTATTATTGTTTTTTTAATATTCAATTAATCATTTTTTTTCATTTAAGATAGATCGTCAATTTTTATAACTGATAATTTAAAATTCTAGTTTTCTAATGTCTCGTATTTKTATAATACTTATAAGTTATAATGTAAAATAGTTTATAACACTTTTATGATATCCTACACATAATCTAACCTGCGTTAAATAGTAAATAGGTACTACCAAAATATTAAAATATGTGTTATGTAAAACCATTTAAGTGGTCATATACCAATATAATATATATTATAATAAAAAATATTAATATGATTTTTTTACAAGGGCGTCCGCAGAAGTTTATTGAGGCTAAAAATATTTTAGAATATTAAATTTATCTAAAACACTTAGACCCTGATGTATATAAATAATCGTGTTTTATAAAAAGTATACCATACAAATTTCAAATTTTTATCATAATCAACATTTTCAGATAAACAGCACATWAAAAAATTATAAAAAAACGGCGTTTACTAATACACAAACACAATTGTATTAAGTGTTTAGATATCCCCAGATTACAATGATCTATAAATAATGTTATTGGATAAAAGAAAGTTTGAATTTTTTGATGGAAAAATGTCCCGTATGACCTACATAGTACATCTGAATACCACTTTACATAACAATGACATTTTAAAATTTAAACATTATAATTATCGGTAAAAACATCCATTCAAATGCAGTTAAAATAAAAATATAATGAAGTACCAAGGTAGTTATACAAAAAAAACTAATTTAAACATATTTATAAATATTGTAAGTTATGAATTATGATAATTCTAAATATCAATTATAAACTATAAAAGATCTATAAAACTGTACAATTTTTAATTTTTAAAATGTAAAATATGTAGGTATAAGGGCTATTATATTAATATAATAGGGACTATTGGTTCTTATAACATCAATATAGGTAGTTATTATTTTATACCAGTTTTCAAACATTTAAAAATTGTAATCGCAAAAGATTGGTTTGATGTTTATTGATTTAAGTTCAACGACATATATAGCTGTAATAATGTATAGCTGCAATAATATATGTTTACTTCTTATGTGCGAGGAACTGATTACAACAACAAGCAGTAATCAGACGATGTTCTCGGCAAGTATTTGAGTGAAGAAAACTACAATCCGCGAATTGACATTCATTTGGTAAATCTGTGTCTGTAAAATAAATAAAATATTTGAATCATTTTTAATCAAACAGGTCTACAATTTTAGCTATTAAATATTAAGAAATACAATCTATTTTCGAGTAAGTATACAAAATAAAATAATTGCCAAAGTAATTAAATAGGTACTGCAATTATTATTTTGGACATAACATTTTATTACAAATATTTAATTTGTTGATTAACAGATTTTTTCAAATAAAACTCGATTTAATTTCGATTATGTTTTTTGTAGTTAACTTGATCTTTCTCCAATAATTTCATTTTGGAAAAAAACAAATGACAATTTTGGGGAAAGTTAAAAACATACCAGTCTTCATAATAAAATAATRAAATGATAAGCATTTCACTAATAGTTTAAAATGAATCTTAATATTGTTTTGACCTTATTAAAAAAATGTTATAGACATTAAAAAATAATGAAAAATGTATAAGTAGATATATGTCATATGATATGTATTAAGTAGAAATGTTAAAAATGAAAAATTGCTAAGTTAATTAATAGCAAATTTCATTTTGGTAGCTAGCTCTTAAAGACTAAAGTCACCTTGATTGTCTACATAGTTTGACATTGGCACGTGTCATAAGTCCAATGACGTCATTTATGAACTGACCTGGACAATATTCCAAAATTKACTTCTGTATCTAACGAATACTYTCAGGTCAGTATTAACAAGATATTTGTAATTGTTGAACATCTATCTTATCTAAAGTTTTTGTAGTACATTTAACTAGATAAAGTGATTATTTTTTAAGCTCAGCCTCAAAAATTACATTGTTTAGATTTCTTGACGTATTATATTGTGTAGATACCTAACTATTTGAAATTTAAATTTAATGTTATAACATAATTAATTATATAAATACCTTTCAATCTTGTTTCTATGTTTGAAATATTTATTGATTATTAGTATAATATATAATAATATGCAATGTATATTTTAATTATAATATTAAAAATGTATCTATTACAGGATAAAACAAATTTAAGGATATGCTTAATATACTGACACGTGAATCTCTTATAATCCGTATGCTTTACATATAGTTTTAGTGTTAGCTTTAAAATATTTTTTTTTTGTATCAATAAAACTTAATTCATTGTGGTAAAAAAAAAATATTAATTTTTTTTAGGAATGAACGTTCTTAGAATGTACCTAACTGTTTTACACGTTTTACTTTCACGAGTACGAGATAAATATGTTTTCGTCACAGCCATTCCAATGTATAAATTTTAATTTTTAAGTAGCTCTTATATGTATAAACTATAATAATATTATTAAACYGTAAAAAAAATKTATAACGCATAACAACGAGCTTAAATCATTGATTATCTGACACAGTTGTATTCACAGTTGTGATTGATGATAAATAGTATAAAATAAAATTACTATTAACAGCGTGTACCTATAGACTACATTATTATAGACATGTAATATACATATAATATAGATTTCATTGCTACAGTTGCGCACAGAGGTATTTTGAGAGCAGATGTAGTTAAAACTTAAAAATTTTAACCAGCCACCAATTTTTTTTATTAATAAAAAAAATATTTTTACTGCACTCCACGATTGAACTCAATTTACTCAACTATATTATGTATATATAACTCAATTATTAATCACAGTAGTTCATGGAAATTAATTATTCTAGACTATATATAGTTTATTATATTATTAATTTATAAATTTTACARATTTTCCTGTAACACCAGAAATTTATACCCTACCCCCTCAATAGCACATCATGCAGTTGCAATACTTTCTAACCTGTATGGGTGACACTGCTGCAGTGTAAAATGTGATACAAGTTATGGCGGTATAATATATTATACCCATGCCATATATTATAATATGCGTAAAATTATAGTAAATATTATTAAAATCTAATTCTATATAGGAAAGATCACCTGTTATCGAAATACGTTACAAATAATCGATTGGACTTTTGGTCAAAATTGACAGTAAAATATTATAACATTAGTATAGAGCGACGATCGTCATGGATCAGYCGTCTCGACGGATGATTTTCGACAGAATAGTGTCGACATAGGGTGATTATTGAGTTTTAACGGTAAACCCTCGTTTAATATCAAAAGTATGTGTAATATAACTCATAACTAAATATTATTTTTGAAAATATTTTAATTTTTTGTACGACAGTAATATATTATAACTAATTTAGAACTCAGTCAAATCGATTTGTACATTTCAAAAATCTCAGAAAAATTCGTAAATTTTGGAATAGGAAATAAAAAAATATTATGTTGTCATTGCAATAARTAAAACAAAAATTCAAAAACGTCAATCCTTTTTGATATTATGAATGTTTAATTGTCAAAAGAATTATACCCGGTATGTAGGTACGTCGGTCGTATTATAGGCATGATTCGTGTGACCGCGCTAGTTTGTCGTGGCAGATTACTACTGCAGTAATATCAGTCATGTCTCATGTCTGAGAGTTTTTTGTCTGTTTTGAGTGTGCACTTAAGCGATACAAACATCACGTACAAGTGTTTGCACATCGAGACACGCGTATATACTTAGGTATAATATATAT